GACCGAAATGATGCTCTAGAAAATAAGGATGTTCTAGACAGAAATGATGTTCTATATAGGAATGACACTCTAGACCAACGTGATGCTCTAGACAAAAGTGATATTCTATGTTCTAGATAGAAATGACTTTAGGGATCAGGATTGAACTAGAGACCTGATCCAGAGTCAGCAATCTTCACCGGAACAGGTATAGGAGAGTAACTGCTGAGGAAGTGAGCCAGAGCCAGAGACCACTGAGGGTCCAGACGTGAATCTGGGACCTTCAAAGGAGTAGACCTAAGCCAAGACCCCTGTGGGTCTGGGCATGAGTCTAGGACCTCCCAGGAACTAGGCCTGAGCCAGGACCTCTGCTAGTCTAGGCATGAATCTGGGACCTCCAAGGGAGTAGGCAGGAACCAGAGATTTCTGCGAGGCCACTAGTGAATTGGCAGAACATTTGGAAACTTTAAAACAAAAAGAAGCAAACTCACCTAAGAGAACTAGATGTCAGGAAATAATAAAATTGAGAGCTGAAATCAACAAAATAGAAACAGAAAACAATACAAAGAATCAATGAGACAAAGAGTTGGTTCTTCGAGAAAATCAACAAAATAGACAAACCTTTATTCAAACCAAAAAGCAGAGAGAGAATATCCAAATTAACAAAATCAGAAATAAAAGGGGGCACATAACAGCAGACATAGAGGAAATACAGAAAATCATCAGGTCATATATTTAAAACCTGTACTCCACAAAATTGGAAAACTTAAACGAAATGGACAACTTTCTGGATAAATATCACTTACCAAAATTAAATCAAGACCAGATAAGCAAACTAAACATATCTGTAACTGCTGAAGATATAGAAACAGTCATCAAAATTCTCCCAACCAAAAAAAGCCCAAGACCAAATGGTTTTAGCTCAGAATTCTACAAGACTTTCAAAGAAAAACTAATACCAATACTCCTCAAATTATTCCACACAATAGAAACAGAAGGAACAATGCCAAACTCTTTTTATGAGACTACAATTACCCCTATATCCAAACCACAGAAAGACATTACTAAGAAGGAGAATTACAGACCAATCGCACTCATGAATATTGATGCAAAAATGCTAAATAAAATACTGGCAAATCGAATTCAAGAACACATTAGAACCATCACCTACCATGATCAAGTTGGCTTCATCCCAGAGATGCAGGGATAGTTCAACATATGAAAATCTGTCAACGTAATCCACCATATAAGCAAACTGGAAAATGAAAACCACATCTCATTAGATGCTGAAAAAGCTTTCAACAAAATACAACATTCCTTCATGATAAAGGTTTTGGAGAAAGCAGGGATACAAGGAACATACCTAAACACAATAAAGGCAATATACAGCAAGCCAATAGGCAACATCAAACTAAATGGAAAGAAACTCCCAGCGATTCCACTGAAATCAGGAACAAGACAAGGTTGTCCACTCTCTCCATATTTATTCAATATAGCTCTTGAGGTCCTAGCTAAAGCAATAAGACACCAAAAGGAGATCAAGGGGATACAAATCTGAAAAGAAGAAGTCAAACTCTCACTGTTTGCTGATGATATGATAGTTTACATAAGCAATCCCAAAAATTCTACCAAGGAATTTCTACAACTCATAAACACTTTCAGTAATGTAGCAGGATACAAGATTAACTCAAAGAAATCAGTAGCCTTCCTGTACACAGATAATAAAAGGGCTGGGGAAGAAATCAGAAAAACATCACCCTTCATAATAGCCACAAATAGCATAAAATATCTCAGAGCAACTCTAACCAAACAAGTGGAAGACTTGTATGACAAGAACTTTAAATCTTTGAAGAAAGAAATTGAAGAAGACATCATAAAGTGGAAAGATCTCCCATGATCTTGAGTAGGCAGAATTAACATAGTAAAAATGGCAGTCTTACCAAAAGCAATCCACAGATTCAACGCAATACCCAGCAAAATCCCAGCAAAATTCTTCAACAACCTCGAAAGAACCGGACTCAACTTCATATGGAAAAGCAAAAATCCCAGGATAGTCAAAACAGTCCTGTACAATAAAAGAACTTCTGGAAGCATCACAATCCCTGACTTCAAACTCTACTACAGAGCGACAGTACTGAAAATAGCCTGGTATTGGCATAAGAGCAGATAGGAGGCCCAATCTGCCTCCTATCAGAGGAGAACAGAAGACTCGGATATTAATCCACACATCTTTGAATACCTGATTTTTGACAAGGAAACAAAAAGTATCAAATGGAAAAAAGAAAGCATATTTAATAAATGGTGCTGGTGTAACTGGATATCAACATATAGAAGAATGAAAATAGATCCAAATCTATCACCATGCACAAAACTCAAGTCCAATTGGATCAAAAACCTCAACATAAAGCCAGTTACACTGAACCTTTTAGAGGAGAAAGTGGGGAGTACACTTGAACGCATTGGCACAGGGAACAACTTTCTAAATGTAACCTCAGCAGCACAGACACTGAGAGAAACAACGAATAAATGGGACCTCCTGAAACTGAAAAGCTTCTGTAAGGCAAAGGACACGGTCAACAAGACAAAACGACAGCCTACAGAATGGGAAAAGATCTTCACCAACCCCACATCAGACAGAGGTCTGATCTCCAAAATATACAAAGAACTCAAGAAATTGGACATCAAAAGATCACATAATTCAATAAAAAAAAATGGAGTACAGACCTAAACAGAGAATTGTGAATAGAGGAATTTAAAATGGCTGGAAGACACTTAAGGAAATGCTCAACATCCTTAATCTTCAGAGAAATGCAAATCAAAACAACTCTGAGATTCCATCTTACCCCTGTAAGAACGGCCAAGATCAAAAACACTGATGACAACTTATGCTGGAGAGGTTTTGGGGAAAAGGGAACACTCCTCCATTGCTGGAGGGAATGCAAGTTGGTACAGCCCCTTTGGATGTCAGTGTGGTGATTTCTCAGAAAATTAGGAAACAACCTCCCTCAAGACCCAGCAATACCACTTTTGGGTATATATCCACAGGATGCTCAATCGTGCCACAAGGACATGTGCTCAACTATGTTCATATCAGCATTGTTTGTCATAGCCAGAACCTGAAAACAACCTAAATGTCCCTCGACTGAAGAATGGATAAGGAAAATGTGGTACATTTACACAATGGAGTACTACACAGCAGAAAAAAATAATGACAGCTTGAATTTTGCCGGAAAATGGATGGAATTAGAAACATTATTTTGAGTGATGTAACCCAGACACAGAAAGACAATTATCACATGTACTCACTCATAGGTGGTTTTTAAACATAAAGCAAAGAAAGCCATCCTACAAATCACAATTCCAGAGAACTTAGACAACAATGAGGACCCTAAGAGAGACGTACATAGATCTAATCTACATGGGAAGTAGAAAAAGACAAGTTCTCCTGAGTAAATTGGGAGCATGGGAACCTTGAGGGAGAGGAGAGGCAGGGAGGGGAGCAGATAAAAATGTAGAGCTCAATAACAAAAATCAATAAAAAAAGAAAAAAGTTGGTTAAAACTACATATCGATACCCAGATTTATATGCCATATGGTTTTCTTTCAAGTAAATAGCTAACAGTATGAAAGAAAAAGAAATGGCTTTAGATAGGAGTGACACTCTAGACAAGAGTGATGCTCTGGACAGAAATGATGTTCTTGGTTGCATACCAGAGTCTTCCTCCAACTTCCCAGGAGGGCACCCCTGTAGAATGGGCACAGAAAGTGACCGATGGATCTGGGGAGGGCACCCCTGTAGAATGGGGTACAGAAAGTGACCGATGGATCTGGGGAGGGCACCCCTGTAGAATGGGCACAGAAAGTGACCGATGGATCTGGGGAGTCAGATACGTGAGCCGGGGCTCTTGCTGTGCCAGCATGAGGAACTGAGTTAAACTTGGGCATCCTATGTAAAATGCCAGGCGTGCCTGCCAGCACCTGTAACCAGGGATGCCAGGGCTGGAGGAAAGAGACGGTTGGGACTTGAGGCTTCCGGCCCACCCCAGCTTCAGGGAGAGACCCTGTCTCAAGGTGACTCGGCAGTGGCAGAACAGAACACCCAGTGTCCCCCTCTTGCCTTCATGCATTGTCACATGCACCCAGAGACAAGTGCATATACACCACACACAAACATACACCACACACAAACACACAATGAATAAACAAATGAAATTTTTAATTTTTTCCTTTTATTGAAAGTAGATTTTTTTTTTATCTGAGTCATGGTGCATGGTGTCACACACCTTTAACCCCAGCAGGCAGATCTCTGTGAGTTCAATGCCGGCCTGGTCAACCAAGCAAGTTCTAAGACCATCAGGAATGTTACATGGAGAAACTCTGTTCAGAAAAAACAAAAAACAAAGACAAAAAAAAGGAAAAGAAAATAGAATTTTCTCTCAATATATCCTCACTGTGGTTTATCCCTGCTCTGCTCCTCCCAGTTCTTACCCACCTCTTGCCATCCAGATCAACTCCTTTTCTGCTTCTCGATAGAATACAAAAGTCTTCTAAGGGATGATAGTAAGAGATAATAAGATTTTAAAAACTAACACTTTGGAATTGAACAAAATAAACAGAAGGAAAGGAGTCCAAGAGAAGGCAAAGAACCAGAGACCCACTCACTCACACACTCGGGGACCCCATAAAAAGCAGCAACCTGACGCTGTACTATAAACACAGAGGACTCGGTGCAGACTCTGCAGGCCCTGTCCTTGCTGCTTGAGTCCCTGTGAGCTCACATGAGCTTTGATTATGTCAACTGAGAAGGCCTTATTTTCTTGATGTCCTCTATCCCCTCTGGTTCTCACACTCTTTCTGCCTCCTTTTCTGAAGAGTTCACAGAGCCCTGAGCGGTGGATTTGATGGGGACATTCCATTTACATGTGAATATCCCAAAGTCTCTTACACTTTGCATAATGTCTGGCTGTGAGTCACACAAACAATACCCATAATCAATAATAAACACACAATAAACAAACACATGTATTTTAACTTATTATTTATTGTGGGTATTTGTTTCCATCTGCTACAGAATGAAGGCTGAATAATGCCCTGATCTATGAGGATAGCAGAATGTCATTAGACATCATTTTATTGCTACATTTTTTTAGAACAACAGTATTTGGTTTTACCTTCGTCCCTGGGTTATCTACTCTCAGGTTCTTGGTCACCAAAGCAGTGTCAGGTATGGGTTCCTTCTCATGGAGTGGGCCGTATATCAAATAAGATATTGGCTGATGACCCCCACAAGTTTGTGTCATTATTGTACTAGTATATCTTGCAGGCAGGACACCATTAAAGATGAAAGGGTTTTATGGCTGGATTGGGGCTTACATTTCTCCTTTGGTAGTATGCAGAGGACCTTCCTATACCAAAGTCGCTAGAATGTAGGGGTGAAGGCTCTGTGTAGACTCCAGCTTCTTCACAGTCAATCAGTTGTGTAGGTATTGTCTTCAACAGGGAGGTCTTGCTGTCGCGTTGTAGAGAGCAACCTTTAGTCCTGGCAACAACCTAGAGATGAGAGATTTCCATGTGACCCCTTTGTCCAACAACTCCATAAAATAGAACCCAACCTCCAGATTGGAGGCTTCATTTGGTGACAAGAGATGATGAGTTGAGGCTCTGTCTTTCTCATTATTTGGTGATTTCACTTAGATTCCCTTCATATCTGTATACATTTTAGGAAGCTTCTACTGTATTGGGTTTCCATAGGACCCCGCAAATGGTCCTTAGTTAACTGTCTCTCTCCATATTCCCTTCCTCATCCCCTTCTTCCCTCCCCCTCCCCACTTGTTCCTCCCATTTCAGCCTGCCCCATCCATCTGTAACTATTCATTCTATTTCCCTTTTCTAATGAGATATCTGTTCCTCTTAGTCCCTTTACTCTATACCTAACCTCTGTGATTCTGTGGATTGTAGCTTGGTTACCATTGACTTAAAAGCTAATATTCACATATAAGTGAATATATATCATATTTGTCTTTCTTGATCTGGGATACCTCACTCAGGCTGAACTTTTTCTAGTTCCATCCATTTTCCTGAGAATTTCATTTTTTTAAGGATAGCTTTTTGGGGAGGTATATATTTTTTTTATTCTTGTCACATATATTACATCCCAAACACAGTTTCCCTTCCCTCGCCTCCCCCAAGTCTCTCCCCACTAACACCCTTCTCTCCCAAATCCACCCCCCATCTCCCCTCAGAAAAGAGCAAGCCTCCCAGAGATATCAACCAAACTAAGCATAATATGCTATAATAATACCAGACAATTAGCATCGGATCAAGGCTTGATGAGGTGACCCAGTAGGAGGGAAAGGGTCCTACAATCAGGCAAAATAGTCAGAGGCAGCCCCTGCTCCCACAGTTGGGAGTCCCACAGGAACAGCAAGCTACTTAGTCATACCGTACACGCAGAGGATCTAGGGCAGAACCCTACAGGGTCCCTGATTTCTGTGACCCCCTTGAGTCCCAGTCAGCTGATTCTGTGGGCCATGTTCTTGTAGTGTCCCTGCTCCTTCCGGTTCCTCCAGTCCTTCCTGTTCCTCCTCAATGGGACTCAGAGAGCTCTGCCTAACGTTTGGCTGTGGGACTCTGCATCTGCTCCCGTCGGTTGCTGGATGAAGTCTCTCCGATCTCTTTGATGACTACTCTGTCGGCTTCATTCCCAGAACACTCTGCAGGTAGGACAAACTGTAGGTGAAAGGCTGTGTGTCTGGTTGGTGTTCTAGTCGCTTCACTTGACGCCCTGTCTAGTTACAGGGCACGGCCGGTTCCGGTTCCACATCCCCGATTAGGAGGAGTCTTTGCTAGGGTTACTCTCATGGATCCCGTGGGATTTCCACTGCACTGGGTTCCCACTTCACCCCCGGAAGGCCTGCTAATTCTAGACCTTTCTCCCAGCATTTTCTCCTTCTCTATTGGATTAAAAATGGACAGGTTGATCAATGGAATTGAATCAAAGACCCTGGCATAAACTCACACACCTATGAACACCTGATTTTTGACAAAGAAGCCAGAAATACACAATGGAAAAAAGAAAGCATCTTCAACAAATGGTTCTGACATAACTGGATGTTTGCATATAAAAGAATGCAAAGAGACCCATATCTATCACCCTGTACAAAACTCAAGTCCAAGCGAATTAAATACCTCAACATTAAACCAGATAATTGGATCTGATAGAAGAGAAAGTGGAGAATAGCCTTGAACACACTGGCACAGGAAACAACTTTCTGAACAGAACATCAATAGTGAAGGCACGAAGATCAAAAATTAATAAATGAGGCCTCCTGAAACCGAAAAGCTTCTGTAAAGCAAAGGACACAGTCAACAAGACAAAACGACAGCCTACAGAATGGGAAAAGATCTTTACCAACCCCACATCCGACAGAGGTCTGATCTCCAAAATATACAAAGAATTCAATAAACTAAGCACCAACAAACTAAATATTCCAATTAAAAACTGGGCTATATATCTAAACATAAGAAAGCACTTAAAGAAATGTTCAACATCTTTAACTATCAGGGAAATGCAAATCAAAGTGACTCTGAGATTCCACCTCACACCTCTCAGAACGACTAAGATCAAAATCACATGTGGCGACTCACGCTGGAGAGGAGTAAGGAGAATACTCCTCCACTGCTGGTGGAAGTGCAAACCAGTACAGTGCTTTGTAAGTCAGCGTGGTGGCTTCTCAGAAAACTGGGAATTAATCTACCATAAGACCCAGCTATACCAACCTTGGGCATATACCAAAGATTGTTCAATCATACCACAAGGACACTTGTTCAACTATGTTCATAGCTGCTGTACCCCTAACAGGTAGAAACTGAAAACAACCTAGATGTCCCTCAGCTGAAGAATGGATTTTTAAAAATGTGGTACATTTACACAATGGAGTATTATTTAGCTGTTAAAACAAGGACATTATGAAATTTGCAGGCAAATGGATAGAACGTGAGAAAAATCATCCTGAGTGAGGTACCCATACTCAGAGAGACAAACATGGTCTGTACTCATAAGTGGGTATCATCTGCAAAGGATAACTATACTATGATCTGCAGACCCAGAGAGGCTAGGTAACAAGGTGGAATTAAAGGGGAATGCAAGGATCTCCCTGGAAAGGGGAAGTAGAATAGATTTCAAGGATGGACTGGGGACAGGTGGGGCTGGGAGCAGGAGGAATCAAGTGAGGAGGTGATTTCATCTTTTTAACAGTTGAGTAATACTCCATTGTGTAAATGTACTCGCAGGTTTAAAGTAAACTCCGCTCCTCCGAATTCTCAGGCCTGCTTCCCTCTCCCAAAGGAGCCATTTCCTTACCTGTCAGAAGGGACAAATGGCTATCTGTGACTCATATTAGCATACCAAAGCACGTGCTGTCCTCCAGGTCCAGTACCCATGACTCCTCTCGGCTCCTCTCACCCAACCTACTACACCAAAGTTCTCCAACTCATGGACTTTCCTTCCCTCAACTTCTCCTTCCTACAAAACCCTGCCATTTCAGCAATGCGCTCTCTTGGTCTCTCTTTTGTTCTTCTCCCTTGCCTTGATCCTGGTGTCTCTTTCTCCTCCTCTCCCCCCCCCCACACACCTTTCATGACCTGTTCAGTCTGCTGAAAATAAAAATGGTTCAGACTGCTGGCCATTTTCAGTGTCCCACTTTCCTTTTCTGCTCTGGACTCTTCCAGATGCCCCTGGCTGTGTGCTCCCTCATGTCTACAATAAAACCCTTCCTCAACCATACCTTGGAGGGGCCATGTCCTCAGTTTATACATGAACTGCATTTTCTTTATCCATTCTTCTGTTAGGGGACATCCAAGCTGTTTCCAGTGTCTCTCCGTTCTGAATAGAGCAGCAATGAACATGGTTGAACAAGTGGCTCTGAGGCAGGATGGAATCCTTTGGGTACCCAAGAGTGGTATAGCTGGATCTTGAGATAGGTCAATTCCCATCTTCCTGAGGAGCAGGTATATTGATTTCCATGGTGGTTATACAAGTTTACACTCCCATCAACAACAGACGAGTTTATCCCTTATTCCACATCCTTGCCAGCATGTGTCGTCACTTGTTTTATTGATCTTAGCCATCTTGGGTTTTTATTTTGTGTGTGTGTGTGTGTGTGTGTGTGTGTGTGTGTGTGTGTGTGTAAGTGCATAACCTTTTAAAATCAAAAACCATAGATGAATGCTTGTGTTGTTGATATTTCATCCCTAACGACCTAAACACACACACATACACACACAACCAACACAAGGGGCTGGAAAGATAGCTAAATTAGTAAAAAGTCTGCTATACAATTATGAGAACCTGAGTTCAGATTCCTATATGGTGTAGGAGTTCCTTCTGTTTGTGTGTTGCTTTCATTGGTTAATGAATAAAGAAACTGCCTTGGCCTAGTTGATAGGGCAGAACTTATGTAGGCGGAGAAAACAGAACTAAATGCTGGGAGGAAGAAGGGCGGAGTCAAGAGAAGCCATGGATCCTCTGCCTGAGATGGACACCAGTTAGAATCTCTGGTAAGCCACTGCCACGTGGCGATACACAGATTAATGGAGATGGGTTAAACTAATATGTAAGAGTTAGCCAATAAGAAGTTAGAGCTAATGGCCAAACAGTGTTTTAATTAATACAGTTTTCTATGTGGTTATTTCGGGTGTAAGCTAGCTGGGCGACGAGGACAAACAAGCAGCCCCCCCTTGTAACACCTATACACATCTAAAAAGCCAAGTGTAGCCTGACAAGACATGGCTACTGGTTATGGGAGAAGCCAACCACTTTCTGATTGAATTTTTCCATGAGATGGAACCCATGCCTAGCACTGTTAATGAGGCCAAGAACCTGGAACTAGATAGGCCATTGGTCCTGATACTATTATTCTATGGCATGGATCTGTTTACTGTTCTTTTAGCAGCATGAACCTGAGAGAGTGGGGCCTAAAAATGAGGTGGACTAAAGCCTCATGCGATCGCCAACTTTAATCAGAGTATCTGAGGGTTAAGAAGAATCACATAAGCAAGGTGTTCAATCACAAGGCAAATCACATGGAAAAAAACATGTTTTCCCATAAAGGTATATAAATAACAGCTGAGGTGTAGTCAGTCCTATCTGCTACACCTGGGAGGAAAATGGAAACACATTCCAAGAACAATTCTGTGTTTGGAAGAAACTGACACCACAAAACTCCTGTCTTGTTTTCTTGCAGTTTTCTCCAAGTACTCAGAAATCTCACACATCCAAGTGGTGGTGGCACATGCCTTTAGTATGAGTACTGGATCTCTAAGCTTAAGGCCAGCCTCATCTGCAGAGTGAGTTCCAGGACAGCCAGGGCTACACAGAGAAACCCTGTCTCAAAAAAAGAAAGGAAGGAAGGAAAGGGAAGGGAAGGGAAGGAGGGAGGGAGGGAGGGAGGGAGGAAGGAAGGAAAGAAAGAAGGAAGGAATTTCATAGAATTCCATTCTTAGACTGTGTTCCAACATGGACCTAGTATTAAAATGTCTCCTAGTGAAAATTTGTACAGCCACTTTGGAAATCAGTATGGCAGTTTCTCAGAAAATTGGAAATCAGTCTACCTCAAGATCCAGCTATACCAATCTTGGACATATCCCAAAGGAAGTTCAATCACACTACAAGGACACTTGCTATGTTCACAGCTGCATTACTCCTAATAGCCAGGAACTGGAAACAACCTAGATGCCCCTCAAACAAAAAATGGATAAAGAAAATGTGATACATTTACACAATGGATATTATTCAACAGTAAAACAAACAATGACATCATGAAGTTTGCAGACAAATGAATGGAACTAGAAAAAACCATCCTGAGTGAGGTAACTCAGATACAGAAAAATAAACGTGGATGGCATGTATCCACTTATAGGTGAATATTAGCTGTAAAGTAAAGAATTAAAAGGTTACAATTCACAGCCCAGAAAAGCTAGGTAACAAGGAGGGCTCAAAGAGAGATGCATGAATTTCCCTGGGAAGTGGAAATAGAAGAGATCTCCTGGGTAAACTGGGGGCCGGAGAAGAGGGAGGCAAGTATGGAAACATGAGGGATTGAGTTGGGCGGGTTGGGGTGGGACAGGGGAGAATAATGAAAGAAATATCTTAATAGGGGGAGCATTTTGGCATTAGGGAGAAACCTGGTGCCAGGGAAACTCCCAGGAATCCACAAGGATGACCCCTGCTAAGACTCCTAGCAATAGTGGAGAGGGTGCCTGAATTGGCCATGTACTGTAATAAGATTGGTAACTATCCTAATTGTCATCCGAGAGCACTCATCCAGTAACTATGTAAGCAGATGCAGAGATCCACAGTCAAGCACTAAGTCAAGGTCCAGAGTCCTGTTGGAGAAAATAAGGATTAGACGAGCCTGTGGGGGTCAAGGTTATGAATGAGGAACTAACGGAGACAGCTGAGTTGAGCTCATGGGAACTCACCAACTCTGAACCAAAGTTAGGGACCCTGCATGGGACCGATGTGGGTCCTCTGCATGTGTGTGACAGCTGAGTAGCTTGGTCTGTTCGTGGGGCTCCTAGCAGTGGGATCAGTACCTGTCCCTGACATGTGAGCTGGCTTTTGGGAACCTAATCCTCATGCTGGGTTGCCTCACACAACCTCGATGCAGGGGAAGAAGCTTGGTTCTGACTCAACTTGCTATACTTTGCTATACTTTGTTGACTCCCTTTCTGATGGAAGAGGAGTAGATGGAGAGGTGTAGAAGGCAGGTGGGGGAGAGAGTGGGAGGGGAGGAGGGAGGGGAAACTGTGGTTGGTATGTAAAATAAATTTAAAAAAATTAAGTCGGGCACACCTTTAATCCCAGCACTCGAGAGACAAAGGCAGGCAGATCTCTGTGAGTTCAAGGCCAGCTTGGTCTTGAACTAGTTCCAGGAGAACTAGAAGAGCTAGTTCCAGGAGTCTCCAAAGCTACAGAGACATCCTATCTCGAAAAACCAAAAATAAATAAAATTAATAAATAAAATAAGAGCCAGCTAGTGGAGGCACATGCCTTTAATCTCAGCACTAGGGAGGCAGAAGCAAGCAGATCTATGTGAGTTCGAGTCCAGCCTGGTCTATAGAGCAAGTTCCAGGACAGGCTTCAAAGATACACAAAGAAACCCTGTCTCAAAAAAACAAAAAAAAGAAAGAAAGAAAGAAAGAAAGAAAGAAAGAAAGGAAGGAAGGAAGGAAGGAAGGAAGGAAGGAAGGAAGAAAGAAAGAAAGAAAGAAAGAAAGAAGAAAAGGACTCTTAATGTAAGTCATTGCTATAACCATAGATCAGAATAACTCTCAACATTCTACAGAGAAGCTTGCAATAGACAACAGCTAACACAAAGACCCTCCAATGGTCAACTTCAGAGAATAAGAAACAGAGTGTTAGACCCTATTGGGGTCTAAATGGGATGTGCATATCACACCCATTCCCTACAAGGCTAAGGGATCTTTGAGAAGAGGGAATGACAGGATTGTAAGAGCAGGGGTGGTGGATAACTACAAGGAAAGAGCATTGGGGTCACAACAGGACAGTTGCACATATAAGTAATGATGGCCATGACAGAATGCACAAGACCTGTATAAACTCAAGCCAGGAAAATGGAGCTGGGGAGTTGGGCACAAAATCCCACTCCTGAGGACCTCAGGCACTGGCAACTGCCAAGAGAGATAGAGTTTCTTTAAGGGCATTTCTCCTGCTGGGCCAACCATATTTGAAGGCAGGCCCCATACCCAATAGTACATGGGCAATACAAATTGAACTAGATGAAATAAGAAAAAAGGGAGGAGAAGAAAGACAAATTGAGAGAAGAAGAGGAAGAAAAGAAAAAAATAATGACAACCAGAAATTATGTGGGTGTGGTGGTGTTAGTGGAGAGGATGGATCTGGGAAGAGTTGGTGGGTAGGGTGAATACATTTTAAAATCAGGTGTGGCAGGTACAAGTCTATATGCACAGAGCTGAAGGGGTGGAGGCAGAAGAATCTTCAGAGCTCATTGGCCAGCCAGTCTAGCCAATTAGTGAGCTCTAGATCCAGAGAGAGACCTTGCCTCAAAAGTATAACATGGAGAGGGGCTCCTCTGGTGAAGGCACTTGTCTCCAAGCCCGACCACCTGAATGAAACTTCTGGAACATACATGGTTGAAGAGAACCAACCCGCAAAAGGTGTCCTCTGATTTCCACAGGCTCACCGTGGTCCACATGTGCCAGTATACACACATGTACACCCATGGTCCTCATAAGATGCCCTTTCACACACAAGAAGGCTTTAGCTCCACCACCCATGCTTAGCTGAGAAAACATCAATAATGCATTAGAGATAGGGATACGGTCCATATGCACAAAATGCAGGAAGTCCTGGGTTCCCTCCTTTCCCTGCCACCGTTTGTTATTGAGTCTAGGGTTGTAGCTCGGCCACCAGAGCACTTCCCTAGCATGCACGAAGTCCTGGGTTCCAGGTTGATTGCAGAGACTGGGTGTAGGGGCTCATCTGCAACAGCACTGAAGTGTGAAGGCAGGGGCTAAGACTTCAACAGTATCCTTGACTCCACAATGAATTGGAGGCCAGACTGGGATGCACGAGACAGTTTTTAAAAAGAAAAACCCTGGTAGTTTTTGGTTGTGAACCTAGCCTTTAACGGCCGAGCTACTATTCTCTTTGGAGAGATACCTTGCTCACCCTAGATATAGGAGGGAGGGCCTTGGTCCTGCCTCAAAGTGATGTGCTAGACTTTGTTGACTCCCCACTCTCTGAGGAGTGGATGGGGATTGGGTGGGGGAAAGGTTGGGAGATCAGGAAGAAGGATGGGAGTGGAAACTAGGAATGGTATGGAAAAAAGAGAAAAGATTGTTCTTAAACAATAAGAAAACACTATCCTGAGTGAGGTAACCCAGACACAACAAGATGAATATTGTGTGTACTCATTCACAGGTGGATACTCACTATAAACAAAGGATATTGAGCCTATAGTTCATGACCCTATAGCAGCTAAGCAATAAGGTGAACCCTAAGAAAAACATACATGGATCCACCTGGAAAGTGAAAACAGACAAGATCACCTGACAAAATTGGGAGTATGGGGTGGGGAGAGAAGGGAGGGTGGAAGGGGAAGAGGAGAGGAGAAGGGGAGAGGTGAGGAGAACTTGAGGGAATGGGATAGTTGTGACGGAGGAAGGACAGAGATGAGAGCAGGAAGGAGATATCTTGATTGAGGGAGCCATTATAGGGTTAGCAGAAACCTGGCTCTAGAGAAATTCCCAGGAGTCCACAAGGATGACCCAAACTAAGACCCTAAGCAAGAAAAGAGGGGGCCCTATCTTGACTTGCCCTGTAGACAGTCTGATGAATATCTTAAATATCACCATAGAACCTTCGTCCAGCAAAGGCAGAGACCCGCATCAGAGCACTGGACTGAGCTCCCAAGGTCCAGCTGAAGAGTAGAAGGAATGAGAATGTGAACAAAGAGGTCAAGACCGTGATGGGTTCATCCACTGAAACAGTTTACCGGAGCTAATGGGAGCTCGCCTACTCCAGCCGGACTGGGAAGGAACAAGCATAGGACCAAACTGGTCCCTCTGAATGTGGCTGGCAGTGGCATGGCTGGGGCAGACTAGGGGGCCACGGGCAGTGGCACCAGGATTTATCCCTACTGCATGTACTGGACTTTTGGGAACCTACTCTTTTTGGATATATCCTTGCTCAGCCTAGATATAGTAGGGAGGGCCTTAGACCTTCCTCAAAGCGATACGCCTTGCCCTCTCTGAGGATTGGATGAAGGTGGGGTGGGAGGGTGTGTGAAGGGAATGGGAGGAAGGGAGGGATTAGGAACTTGGATAGATATGTATAATGAAAAAATTTTTTTAATTTAAAAAAAAAGAAAATCCATGTTATTTCACATAGAACCACTAGGTGGCAAGAGTTCTCTAATTCAGACCTCCATTTGCGCTACACTGTAGTTCCTACAGGAATTAATTTAGATCTCCAATTTTTAAAATACAGGAACCTACATTGACCACTCTGGAGAATAATATGGATTCAGTTCCTAACCGACAGCAACTAAGGGAACCAAAGGAATCTGACCACCTGCTCACATGGTGCACAGACATACATTAAAGCAAAAACACTCACAAATGTGGTGGACCCATAGTTCCATGTACTACAGTGCTGAGGAAGGAGGATCATTTGAGCACAAGAGCTCAAGATCAGTCTGAGCAATAAAAGGAAGACCCTTTTTGTTACTGTTTATTATTATTATTTACTTTTATTATTTTATTAAAAAAGCAAATGACCTTGACCGGTGGAAGTAAGGATTTACTGAAGAATTAATTCTATTCTACACATTTTATCTTGATCCACATGGAATTCCCACAGAGTAGGCACTGTAGCTGCAGCCGCGGGTCTGCCGGGAGCTTTCGCAGCCTGGCAATGCTTCCCCTGAAGACTTACGGAGCCTGGCACTCAGCAGCAGTCACCAAAGATCGACTTGAGATTTTGCCTAAGTTTGATGTCTCTCTGCATAATGCCTAAAGATGGTCTACAAGGCAGACTTGAGGTTTATTAAGAGGATTCCTGACTGGCGTGGCATCACGCCCCTTTAATCCCAGCGCCCTGGAGGCAGAGGCAGGCGGGTATCTATGGGTTTGAGGCCAGCCTGGGCTACACAGCAAGTTACAGGTCAGCCAGAAGTAGAAGGAGGGGAGGAAGGGTGAGAAATTAAGAAGAAAATGAAACAAACTCCTGAGTACAGCAGCAGTGAGAGAGAGAGAGAGAGAGAGAGAGAGAGAGAGAGAGAGAGAGAGAGGAGCCATTGAACTTCCCTGTCTAGCAAAGCGGGCAGCAGCTGAGGTAACAGTTGTGAGGTTGATAAGTTCTCTGCACTGAGCCAACGCAGGACTCAAGTGCTCTGTGCACAAGCAGGGAGATAACTGTGCACTGTGGGTGTGCTGCCCGCCCAGCCAGGGCTGAGAGCCCACCTGTTAGCGCTGAGCACGACTCTGGGCTGCTCGTCACTGGCTGGCATTGCCACTTCCACACTTGCCCGTGTCTCTCACGCTCTTTGGTCTCACACTTACGTGAATCCCCTGTCGGCTCACCATGCAGAGACGTCACAGCCACCAAGATGTGCAGCCATCTTCCTGGTTGTTTCTATTTAGCTCCTCGCCTATAGGTGATCTGGAGTAGTCTCCTTGTTAGTCTCTCAAGGGCTTTGGGGACTCAGAGGCAGCCGGCCTATCGCTGCTGGCCCAGAGCCCTCTCCGTCCTCTTATCTCGTCACACCAGCGACCAGTCCTCTCGACTCTGGCACTTCAACCTTTAGCCCCCCTTTAACCCCAGATTCTGTCCTCACTGCGGTACATAGACAGCAGGTTTCAGTTTTCATCGCGGGCTCCTTCACTTAGTGCTCAGAGAGCTGGCTCCAGCCTTGGGGTTATTATCCCCATTTTACAGATGAGGAAAATGGGGCACAACTCTGCATTCTTCTCACGTGTGCACATGTAGGAGCCTGCCTTCCTGTGGATACCCACACCCGATCCAGGCGCGCGCCTTCCCGAACTCGGGCCCACGAGAATGGACGACTGTCCTGAGGGTTTAAAACAGACACACACAAAAGAGACCTTGCTCAC